CTGTATCCACTAGGAACAGGAGAAGAAATAATGAGCATACATTGCAGCAAGGAAAATGCAGGTTGCATATTCCAAGTATAAGGCTAGTTAAACACTGCAGCAGATTGCCTAGGGAGGTGGTGGGATTTTCAAAGGAGCTGTGTGTCCAGAAGCTCCTGTGAAAGTCTGTCAGCCAAATGCTAGTGCTAATTCTGTGTTGCTGTGTCAAATAGAATGACACTGAATATTTCAGTGCTGAAGGAAAAAGAAGAGGTTGTTACAAATGTTGTGGTCAGTTTATTAACTGCTTATTACCAGAATAATGAATGGTGGTAGAAGATCTTTTTTAACCATTTTCTTTTTTTTCAGAACTTGTTACCAACCAAATAACAATTTTGAATTACTTCTGTAATTAATTCAGTGCAAATGGCACTTTGTGCCCAAAAGCTTGTCTAAATGTCTCCCAACTATGTAGTTGGTCTAAGAAAAGATATCACCTACAAAAATCCAAACTTCACTTCAAAACTCATTTACTGGGTGGGAAGCAGTTTGTGTAGTAGTAACTTTTACTACACTAAGAGTGGAACAAACCTTCCATGTAATTTTATAGCCTTAGTTTCATCATGAATACAGGCTGGCTTTTCTTTAGAAATATGGTTTTCTGAGCTCTTGCTAAATGTGGCAAATTTCTGAATGATACCTGGAAATCTCTCTCCTGGATGAAATGCATTTGCTGTCTATGTTTTACTTCATTAGCTTTTGTATTTTAATTAATTCTTCTATTTTGTTTTGCATTTTGACCTGTCTAGCTGAGCTTGGCGATTATGATCCTGATGAACACCCAGAAAATTACATCAGTGATTTTAAGATTTTCCCCAAGCAATCACAAAAGCTGGAAAGAAAAATAGCTGAAATGCATAAAAATGAATTCAGGTAATTTAGAGTACTGCCTGTGAAAGAGGCTATCAATTATTGTGTGTCTGTTTTCATATAGAATACATTAAGTTATTCTCTTCTGCACTTTTAATATGTATTTTAGATATTCTTCTTGTGCAAAGTACTGTACACTTGTCATTTTAAAGATGTTAAGAGGACTATAAAAACCATTTTAATCATAATTAACTCCTACATGCATGCTTCAAACTGGTACTGTGGCATGTCCGGGCATGAATGTCTGGCTATATCAGTGGGAGTGGCTTACCCTATGAGAGCTGATGTAAGCAATGCAAGGGTGTATCTTTCCCATGACTTTGATCTTTATGTAAGCACTTGATAACCATCCAGAGCTTCTTATACTGATATTTATAAACTTAATTACTGCTATTGTAGTTTAAGTCTTACCTAATGTTGTTTGGTTGGTATCTTTAGCCGTTGATATAATTTACTATGCATAGCATATATGGGAGAATGATGGTAAGTCATGGTAATATATACTGATACATATTGAGACAACTTTTTTAGAAGGGTGAAGGAGCTACATTCAGGGCACTTTTGCCCCCCCACAGGCTTTCTTTTCCCTTCCTTTACAGATGGGACAGAGAAGATTAGATCAAATAAAAATTGTTCTCTTGATCCCATTTAATATGCTTCAGAGGTGAAGCTGCCTGTTTCTTTTGAGAAGATCTGCTTTGTGCAAGCTCACCCCCTTCAGGACTGCCTGAGAATAACACAGACAGTAGCAATCAATGTGGACAGTAGAAGTAAAGGCAATCCTGCAACCCACTTAAAGGAAAGATACAGTGCACAGTTTGGTAGGCAATCACAGGAAAATGATTAATTGCATAATACAGTGTTAACATTCCTTGGGAATTGTCCTTGCAGATGACATTATATGAGGTATATAGGTGAAATTTCACAAGTTCAGAAAGCAACCCACATTTCCACAAACCAGAATGAAAAGGAATGTGGTCGTTTGAACAGAACAGTGTAATCTGCATGCCATGCTACAGAGGAGGGAGAATGATTGTTATTGAAAGACATAAAGGAATTCAGCTCACTTTTGCTTTGTATTTCTACAATTAAGTAATTACTATTTTTGATAGACATACAGTGTATCTTATTATGCAGAAATATTACTTTGTTATTACTGAGGGGACGGAAAACCAGAATTTTTTTCTAAATCCCTTCTTTGAAGGATTTAAATATAGTTTAAATATCGTTGCTCTGATAGACTGCTCAAGATGTGTATCAAGAGTTTTGTTTATCCATGAACACAGCCTTAGGGACAATATGAAAATAGAACACTCCACTGTCACAGGGATAGCTGGTATGTTCAATACTCCTAGTAAAAAAATGTTGTGCCTTAGCTCAAAGGAAGGCTGCAATTGTTGCTGAGCCTTCCTTTTTTTCTGTTCCGGGAGTCTATACATTTCTTTTGTCAACACTATCCCTTAAACAATATAAAGATTTTATGTGATTAATAAAACAGTCTAGAGTCATGCTAAGTTTCATATTAGACCAGCTAATATTCCAGAGAGAAGCTAAAAGTCCTTTAGTTGTCAGCAATACAGATGCAGTTTTGACGGTTGTCTTCCAGACGCTGTCTAGTATATTCCCATAGGCAAAATCCAACCTCTGATGTGAGCAAAGGCCTTCCATTGATCTACGACCAATTATGGGTAGTAAAAGAAAGATATGAGTACTGGTAAATACCTTAGTGCAGGAACATACCCTTCCTTTAATCAGACTGCAAATGAAAAAAGGAGGAGAATTCACTAACAAACATTAGATTTTTATTAGAGCCCCGCTTTTCACTAAGGCAGTCATGTAACTAGCTGTGGGTGAGCAGAGCACCAGCTCCGGGCGCCAATTTAGAGGGAGTGCCAGAACGACAGCCCTGCAAAACTTGTGCAGCAGCAGTAGCCAAGACTGTGCAGTGACTTTGTGTGGCACTAGTGGTGGTGGCAGTGGCAGCAGTGACAGCAATGGTAGGAGCTCCCAGGTTGTAAGGAGAAGGATAAGCTTCTAGTAAGATTGCTTGGCACCTCCCCTCCACCCTGCCAAAATTCCCAGTTATGCCTCCTCACTAAGCTCTTAGCTCGGCCTCCGTTTTTGTACATGTAACCTTGTGTATGCACATTTTTCTAGCACTAATTTCAGCACAATGGCGATAGATTCCATTTGAGTGCGCAAATATAAATTGCATTTTTGCAACGCATTGGTGGCATGTCTGCCTCTTTGATTTAACTTACATCTGTTCAGGTACCCTTGGTGGGAAACTGAATACACAGGTATTTGTGCTTGCTCAGCAAGTTTAGGAAAGGAAGTATTTTTTTTTTTTTAAATTACGTTTTTGGGTGTGGTAGAAAGATTTTCTTATGGAATATATTAAAACCTGACAGGGACAGGGGAGAGTCAAACTTTCCATTTCTTGATGTTATTATACTCCCCTTAAAGGTGGCAGAATGTAAACAGATATGTCCTCAAAACTGATTGTTACTAGCTGGTCATGACCATAGTATTAGATGAAAGCCAGTTCAAGTAACATAACATTATTTCTCCTTTTCAGTTCTTCACTTCCACAGCTCTCAATACAAATAGTGTGACACATTTCTGTCATGCAGTAGTTAAACTATATACAAGTTCCTACAGTATTTATGGTAAAAAGTACATGACAAATATTGGGAAAGCCATTTAATTTGTAAATTTTTTACATATTATGGATATAGTTTACTGGTTTGCCTGTTTCACCTTGCTGTAGCTAGCCAGGTTTTACTGATATCTTTTATTGGACAACTTGTATAGATGAGAGAGATGTTAGACAAGCTTTTGTGCCATACGTTGAGGGGTACATTGTGCCAGAAAGCTTCTTGCACCTCCCCACAACTCTATAGTTGGCCCAGGAAAAGATATCACCAGAAAAGCCTTGCTGCTTACATGTTTCCTGGACTATCATGGCTATAACAGTCCAATCTCATTCAAGGAAATGCATTTAAAAATTCGTATTTCTTAGGGGTTTTAAGAAGAATACTGGCCCAATAACTGGGAATTGTCTAGTACACCAGTACTTACAAAAACACTGCAAATGAGTTTCTGAGATTTTTGTAATAAGGCATTTGAGTGATGGATTAATGATTGTAAATGGTAGAAAGACTTACGATCGGATTTTTGTTTGTATCCATTTTACACCAGTATCATTCAGCTGACTTCAAAAGAGGTAGTCTTGATTAGGATCAGCCACTGTCTTTTTGTTTGTTATATATCTGGGTCATTAAAAACCAGGACATCTCAGTTTTGAAGCATGTTGTCTGTTTCTTTACTGAATCCCACCTCATCATTCTTAGGACCCCATTACCTGAGTGCATCTATTTTGTTCCAGCATTGTTTTTTTCTGTTAATGAGTGAATGAGAAAGTGAAAGATATGCCTGGGAAGTAGCTGATGGAGCATAGTGACAGCTGCAAATGACTACAGTGACTCATTTTATCTCATTGAGAAAGCTTGTTCCTATTAATTAGTACAGATGTATGATGTGGTGCCACTGCCTCTCACTCTCTTTATGCAACTGTGAAAACCTTGTCAGGATTTTATCAAAATACAGCCTCTTGCATGACCTTTCTCTGAATCTGCCTGCGCAAATTGAATCTCATGCTGGGGGGGGTGTAAAGGCAGAAACTCATGAAAAGCTGTGATTAATTTTGTCTTGTGACATTATTCATTCCATGCACCTGAGGGAAGAAGGGGGAGGGGTATTTTAATAATTTAATCAGACTTGACAAGGGGGCTTCATGAAGGCCTGTCCTTTTCTTATCTTAACAGATAAGAAAAGGACAGGGGTTTATTTGGGGTTTCATGGCATCACACATAAGTACACTTTTAAAACATGACACACCTGTGTGTGTGTGAAAGAGATTGATTTTATATGTGGCTGCTAGAAACAAAATCAATAGTGAAATACAGTAGATTCCTTTTATTGGAATCACTTTGGGAAATGGTGATTTGATTCTATTAACCAGATGATTCCGTTAAAAAGAGACCCGTTTTTTTTCTCATCATATCTCTGCTGTTTCCTGTAGTGTTGGGTTGTGTCCACTGAGCTGCAGAGGCCACAGGGGAGGGCAGGAGCCTCAGTCCGCAGCCCGCACCCACTCCTGCCCTGCACACAGATCGGTGGGGTGCAGGTCCCCTCTGCACCCCAGGAGTGCGTGCATTGGCAGGGAGCTTACCTGTGGGAGCTGCTCTCCAGGCTGCCTGGGGCCATGTGCATACAGGCACATGGTGTCCCCTGCCTGACTGCCCTCCTCCTGCTCCTTGCCAGCCTCCTGCAAGCTGGAACTCTGCCAGCCTCCAGAGGGCTCATCCCAAAACTGCAAAATCTCTGGGCTTCTCTAGTAAAATGAGAAATCTGCGTTTGTCTCTGGTAACAGGTAAAATCTGTGGTTTACTCCATTTTTCCATGGGAAACAAAAAACCTGGATTCCTGCTAATAAGTAATTACTGTATAAATTTTCTGGAATTTTAATTTCAAAAACCAAAAATTGTGATTCTAATATGAGTGATTTTTTACATGCAATAATATACAAATGATTTTGGTTTTTCCATATTGATTCAAATAAGTGGCTGATTCTACTAACCAGAGATTCTATAAAGTGGAATCCACTGTATGCAGATGAACAGGAAACTGTCAAAACTTTGTGAATGGTTCTTAAAAGAATTCCAAGCTGCTACAGTTGCAGCAGGGAGTGCTAGAAGAGTCTCATGGTTCAGGTGGTTGAATGCTGTCCTGGGAAGTTCCATTCCTACCCCACAGACATCATTGGTATTTAGCAGGTCCTTGCAACACCACTTTTCCATGTGGTCCGTAATTTGCAGCAGCTCTGTTCCAGCCTTTATTTTGAGCCCCTTCTAAATGTTACATAATGCTACATACTCTGAAAAGTTAGAATCAAGTTATCTTTTACTGGTTACCCTTTATTTCCCTGTGCCACTGTTCCT